ATTTGGGAGCTTCAAACTTGTGATTTTCACACTCACACTAGTAGGTAGTATAACGCTGCACCCATGGATGATTCTTGATGCAATCTTGGTGGTTTGGGCTCTCCAAACTTGTGTTTTCACACTCACACAAGTAGGTAGTATAGCGCTTTTTTCATAGATGACCTTTGATTCAACTTTGGTGATCTTGCCTACTTAGACTTTTGTTTTCACTTATGTAATGGCATGTGATGTATCGGATGATCTTCCCTCTATGTGCATGTGTTTTCCATCTAGTCTAGCATCACTTGATCTTGTTCATACACTGCTATAATGTTCCGGATGATGTTCCCCTTATGTGCATGTGTTTTCCATCTAGCTCTAGCATCTCCTTGTTTTGTTCATACTTGGTGTGATGTTCCGGTTGATCTTCCCTCTATATGCATATGCTTTCCATCTAGCTCTAGCATCTCTTTGTCTTGTCTATACTTGGTGTGATGTTCCGGATGAACTTCCCTTCATATGCATGCGCCTTTTATTAGTCTAGCATCTCTTTGTCATGTTCCTACTTGGTGTAGTGTTCCGGATGATCTTCCCTTCATATGCATGTCCTTTTTCATTAGTCTAGCGACTCATTGTCATGTTCCTACTTGGTGTAGTGTTCCGGTTGATCTTCCCTCTATGTACATGTGTTTTTCATTAGTCTAGCATCTCCTTTTCATGTTCTTACTTGTGTAATGTTCCGGATGATTTTTCCTTCATATGCATGTGCTTTTTCATTAGTCTAGTCACTCATTGTCATGTTCCTACTTGGTGTAATGTTCCGGATGATCTTCCCTCTATAAGCATGTGCTTTCCATCTAGTTCTAGCATCTCCTTGTCATGTTCCTACTTTGTGTGATGTTCCGGATGATCTTCCCTTCATGTGCATGTGCTTTTCCATTAGTCGAGCCACTCATTATCAGGTTCATACTTGGTGTGATGTTCCAAATGATCTTCCCTTCATGTACATAACAATGGATTCGTGAAAACCAGAGAAACAAACCAAAACCAGAGAAATCCTATAGACAGAAAAACGTCAATGGAACATAGCATTTTTTTATAAGTAAAGGTGGATTTTGCACCGTTCCGTGCGCAAATGTCATCGAAACCCCCTCTAAGAATCAATAAATATATGAGGCCGACCACAACGACAACGTGGGAAAAAAAATCCATTTTGGAGGCGAACAGGCGACTCCTACTCATGGCCGACGAAAAGATCTCCAATTTATGGAGATTTCAGTGCATAACGAAAGCGTTCGGGGATGAGGAGCTCGATGACGCCGGAGGAGATCGATGAGCAGGCTGCCCTCATTTCGCGCGATCCCATTGGGTCCTCTGCGTCGCCCCCTGCAGAGTCTGTTTTCGGTGCTCGTGCGGCTATCTTCCGGCCATACCCCAGGGATGATGCCTTTGGGGACGAGAGGGAGCGGGAATGTGCGGACGACCCTGCGCTTCCCATCCCACGCGAGATTGATGAGTTGCACGAGGAGGGCGGTGACTCGCACGAGGGGGCAGAGCGGCCACACACCGCGCTGGGGGCGGGGGATTTCGGGGGAGTAGAGGCGAGATCACCCACTCCCGCGCGAGAGCATACGCCTACTCCCACCACCACAGTGCGGGAACTGACGACTGTTTCCGCGACCTCGCAGCAGCAGACTCCTGCTCCTACGAGGACGTGCGAGCGGACGAGTACTCACGCGTTGGAGTCCGGACCTTCGTCGCAATTGCATCTTCCTCGTCATTTAGTAGCATCGTCCGCCGAGACTGCTTCCATAGGGCATGTTGAGCGCTCACCATCAGCGGTCTATAGGGAGGACTTGGGATCCTCGTTGCTCATACGCAGGCATGGATCGTTGTTTAGCGTAGCCCGTTAGCTCGTTTTGGAGGAGGGTGTTCATAGCGGGACAACGGTGGTGAGGGAGAGACGGGCGGAGGAGCACGGAGCGAGCGGAGTTGACGACCTTGAGGGTATTCGAGGTATGGGGGACGAGTTAGCGGAGGCAGGGCGGACAGGGTTGTCGTCTACGCTGCATGATAGATTAGGGGGGGATGATGGTGCGCAGGTTGAGAGGGAGGCGGGAGTGGAGGTGGATGATGGTCCGCAGGTTGAGAGGGAGGCGAGAGTGGAGGTGGTCCAAGTGGATGATGGTGCGCAGGTTGAGAGGGAGGCAGGAGTGGGGGTAGATGATCGTGCGCAGGTTGAGAGGGAGGTGGGAGTGGAGGTGGATGATCGTGCACAGGTTGAGAGGGAGGCGGGAGTGGAGGTGGATGGTGGTGCGCAGGTTGAGAGGGAGGCGGGAGTGGAGGTGGTCCAGGTGGATGATGGTGCGCAGGTTGAGAGGGAGGCGGGAGTGGAGGTGGATGATCGTGCGCAGGTAGAGAGGGAGGCGGAAGTGGAGGTGGATGGTTGTGCGCAGGTTGAGAGGGAGGCGGGAGTGGAGGTGGATGATGGTGTGCAGGTTGAGAGGGAGGTGGGAGTGGAGGTGGATGATCGTGCGCAGGTAGAGAGGGAGGCGGGAGTGGAGGTGGATGATCGTGCGCAGGTTGAGAGGGAGGTGGGAGTGGAGGTGGATGATCGTGCACAAGTAGAGAGAGAGGATGACGTCGTGACTACTCAGGTTGGGAGAGAGGAGGGTGTGGCAGTGCCTTCTGATGCTGCGTAGGGTGAGAGACAGGAGGACGTGGTCAGGGCAGATGGTACTGCGCTGGTTGAGGGAGAGGACAACGTGGTAGAGGGTGACGTCGCCCATGACGGAGGAGAGGGCAGCGACACCCTTGACCCGACTGTCGAGCGTTTCATCGCTGACGAGATGGGTCCCGCACTATCGGGTTTGACCCCGGGCACGATGAGGGCACTGGGGGCGTCGCCATCAGGAGAGAGCGGGGCGGTTGGCGATGAGATGCGGGATTTTGCACAGATGTCTTTCGGGGATCCTCCCACCCCTCGTCAGAGTCGTCGCGCAGACATAGAGGATATAGCGCGTGCCCTGGCGGCCGCTGGTTACTCCGCTGAGGAGATCGAGCAGGCATTCGCAGGAGCCTCCAGGATTCGTACACGGGACACTCTTCAGCAGGGGTACGAGGAGGCACGAGAGCACCCTCAGGAGGAGCATGAGGATGCAGCCGCTGCAAAGATCCCGGGAGGTAGCGGTCCGTTGGTACACTTCACGGGCATGCAACTGACGACGACGACATGCCCAATTCGACCATGTGTGCATGGCTCAAGTTCTGAGGAGGTGGCACCTGACGAGGTACCACCGGTCGTAGTGGTGGATTTAGGATCAGAGCCATCGCTTCAGACTTCCGTTAGTGGGCGGCGAGCTCCTGAGGATACTGCTTGCCCATTTGATGCGGCAGAGCTCGCACGGGCTGCTGTGCATAATGTCACACGGAAGGAGGACACATACTCACGGAGACCAGGCATGCCGCCTCCTCCTCCGAGATCACGTCACGGTGATTCACCCTCGACACCAGCGTGTGCACACCTCTGCTCACCATCCACGCCTGGCAGACCCAGGGTCCGTGACACCACGAACGTAGGGAGCCTCCCTTTTGACACGACGCTATTCGGGAGGACAGATATCGACCTCGACTCGACTCGACTCGCCGAGTAACAGTGCACACTGCACGACTCCAGCCAGGTTAGGGTGGGGGTGGCACTGGAAGGTGTGCGGCTCGGGAGGTCATGGCGGCAATTTCTCAGTCGCGACATGTTCGTGGGGGTGTAGAGGTCGAGTCTACCTTACAGCACGCTTTGGCAGCAGCAGCACGTGTTGTGCGTGACCAGACTCCGTGCAGGAGCGCAACATATCGTGACTCTCGTCCGCGTCTCGTGCTTGCGGCGGGTGGTGCCGCATTGGCGGAGTCTTCATGAGTTGAGGGGTTTGGGATGCCGCGGGGTTCTTGTCATGATAAGACCATCGAGGTTGTCACTCGGGCGAGTACTAGGCTTGTTCAGGTGAGGAGGGGGGATGAGCAGTTCATCGTAGAGGAGGACGATCCCGAGACGGAGCTGGCACGTGACGAGGACCCGCCTGAGGATGATGAGTACAGAGAGGACGACGAGAGTCAGGAGGAGGAGAGGGATGACGAGGAGGAGGAGGAGGACGACGACGACGATGAGCCCTCCCCTCGACCACGACGTGGTTCTGGTAGACGGCAGGAGGAGTTTCATGAGACGAGACCCCGCACGAGGAGTCGAGGACCATCCGCTGCGACCGGGGCGAGCCGACGAGGTGTGTCACGGACAGGCGGCTCGGGTCGCGAGAGGCGGAGAGGCAGCGGTAAGGGAAAGCGAGGTCTACGGTCTTGACAGCTTCGTTCCCCTCCCATCTCGCGTATATGTCGTTCATCCATCTCTGTCTGTCGACCATTCTTTATAGTGTTTAGGATGATGTACATACAGTTAGGTTTCAGGCACTTAGGACCAGTTCATGGATATTAGCGTGCAGGTAGATTGAGGTAGTGACGTTGAGAGTTCATTTTTGTTTTACGTTTTTGGTTCATGTACGGCGTGTCATTTTTTTGTGTTGGTCTTGGGTTTCTGTTCGAGGTGGGACTTCATTGTTTGTTTTGGTTTTCTTTCGGGATATATTAGTTAGCGATGTAGGCTGCGGCCCTTGGCTATACGAGTCCGTACGACTCGGTACGAGTGTGACGGAGTGTCGACGACACTCGTACCATGCGACATGTATTTCGTATTCGGCTTCTATATGCGATTTTGGCATGACTGTTCAGTCTTTTGTATGAGATTTCATGATTGCTTTGTTTCCATTGTGCTTCCATGTTCTTCTGTGCGTTTACTCTTCTGTGCCTGTGTGTGTGTGTGTGTGCGTGTGTGTATGTGTGTGTGTGTGTGTGGGTGGGTGGGTGGGTGGGTGTGCATGTGTGTGGCCACCCCCTCCCAACAATCACTTTGTCAATAAATAAAAAAACAATAACAAAATAACCAAACCACAAAACAAATGAAAAATGAAAAACAAAAACAAAATAAACATTGGGTGGGTGTGAGTGGGGCGGGGGGGGGGGGGGGCGGAGGCGGGCTTGGGCGCTTGGGGGTTGGAGGTGGTACACGGAGGGTGCGTGGGGGGTTTTCGGCAGTTCGGGAGAGCAGGGGTGTCACCGTGTCGGTCCCTGCGCGTCCAGGGTTGTAGGGCTGTCTCTTATACACATCTAGATGTGTATAAGAGACAGGTTGTAGGGTGTGTTTGTTGGGGTACGGGCTGCGAAGTGGTGGGGGCTTGCGGTGGGGTTCCGGGGTCCAAGGCATCGGAGAGGGCCCTTTTTTTAGCAATTTTTTTTTTTTTTGTCGCCAACTTGCACTGCGTTGTGTCCGCAGCCCCGAGCCCGCGTCGAGTTGATCGCCCATCACGCGAAGCCCGCTGGCATTCAACGGACATTCAACGGGGATTCAACGTCGTTGAATGTATTCAACGGGCGTTCAACGGGGGTACAACAGGTACAACGGGGGTACAACGGGAGGGGTTCCTGATTTTTTCGCCCCCCCGGGCTTGGGCGCGTGTCCGCGACCGTTTGCGACCGACCCGTTGTTCGGGTTTCAACGGGAAGCCCCGTTGTTCCGTTCAACGGGGATTCAACGGGACCCCCCGGGGGGTACAACGGGTACAATGGAGTTGAAAAATTCTCGTTGCCCGTTGAAAGGACACATAGCAAAAAAATATATCTGTCAGGGAGACAAAAATATTACAGATACCATACAGGATGTAGCGGCTAAAAGGCCATCGTGGTTGCAGGCGGTAGAACGGTTTTATCCCCGCCTCGACCATGACCTTCCCGACCGGATCGCTTTCGATATCCCGCCTGTTTCCTCTTCCTCTCCCCCGGCGAATCAACAGATAGCGGCAGTTAAGAACGAAATCTCCCACGAACTCCTCTCGCCGGCCGTAACCAACTTACATCTTGCCCAAATGATCCATACGGCCACTACCAAGCAGTCCGAATGGATGAGCAACTTGATCCAAATGCAGGCCGCTCACATGGAGCGGATGAAACAGATAATGAGCAGGCTAATTAAGCCAACTCGGCCCCTGCTCGGCCTGCCCCCGCGTCATTTCCTCTCTTGCCTGCCCCACCTGCATCAGGATACGCACCTCAGTTCCCTCATCCAACTAATCCAGCAGGAAAGATCGAGTGTTTTAACTGCAAACAACCCGGACATTTCGCCCGAGACTGTCCGCAGCCAAAGCGCAATCAGCCCCCACCGGTTGCGGCCCCTGTTGCTCTAAACCAAGGACGAATGGTCGCATTGATGGACACGGCCCAGGGAAGGAGAGCTCGTGGCATGTGCCCCAGAACAGCCTCTCCCCTCGATGGCAACGGCTTCGACATCGGGAGCCTCTTCCTTTGACGCTGCTGACGTGGTCGATCCACTTGAGTATCTTCATCTCGCAAGCATGATCGGAGTCATCCGATCGGCCCCTGATGATCTTGAATGGGTCGATCGCGATTCTAATCCCGGTCCATAGTTTAGGACGGGCGAAATCGATGTGTTACGAGCGCTCAAGCAGCTAGATATCCGCGTTCCGATCCCGGTGGGACACTTGCTCACCATATCAGAAGTTGCAAACGACAAACTGTTACAATAATGTCAGAAAAATCAAAAGCGCTTCACGTACCAACGCATACAGCGAATGTTGAAAAAGAAGGAAGGAGGCGAGGAAGTTGCACCGCCCGAACCTGAAGCCGGCAAACCTGAAGCCGCACGAATAGCAGCGATCTCTTTAGCAGAGAAGGATCACTTCGTACGAGATCGGTCGGTATTATGGAAGAGCGCGGAATGTGATTGTGAAGTTTGGGGCAAGCCGTTTAACGCCCTTATCGACACAGGGTCTTCTGCAGTGGCCATATCATTAGACACCGTCAGAAAGACGGGACGATTCGGATCTATTCTTCCTCAATCTAGCAAAGACAATTATGTCTTTGCCGACGAGGAAGCAATGAACATCGTGGGTGTTATTGAGAATGTAGTTGTGAAGGTCGGACGAGTACACGTCCTTGTTAACGCACTAGTAATAGATGTGCGTTCCTATTTTGTGTTGTTAGGATTACCTTGGGCAATGGTCGTAGGGGTCCGTCTGCATTTCGATTCAAAACAACTGGTGTTCACGCAAACTGGGGGAAAGCCTCAAACTGTTCCCTTGCGAATTTCCACCCGAATGATAAAACGAACTCCTAACTCAGGCCAAATAGGGATGATTCGATGCATTGATACCGAGGAGTATTCTTCATCGGACATCGGCAGCGGAATCGGGGAACAGGAATACGAAAAAAAACTGCCTAGTGAGGATGAATGGAAGCACCTGGTCGAACTTTTCGAGCACGAAATTCCCGAAGAATTTCGAGTGTGCCCCGACACTGCCCGAAGCTTCCACATGGATTCATGAGACAGCACGCTTGCGCCTCCGAAAGCCCAGGTCAGTCCCTCAGTCCTCCTCGGGGAACCCATATTACAAGTGTCTGACTTGGCTGATGATTTGGAACCCCCTCGTACCTTGTACGAGGGAACTCTTTCCTTGCAAACACGTTATCAACAAACGGAACAGTATCTAGACGTTTCTGTTTTCCCGCCCAGATTGTTATTAACGATGGGGGCGGCCATCACTTTGATTAAACAGGAAGCAGACACACCGGTAGATGACGTGCCTGATCTAATGCAGGAAATGACGGACCTAACAGGACTGACTGTAGAGCAGATTTCGACCGACTCAGAAACTGACGCCGAGACTAAAGAAACCGAAATGATCAGCCCCGTTGAATCACAGATGATTGCGACTGTCTTTTCTGTTCACACCTGTAGTTCTGTCTTTTCCAGTGTCTACGATCGAAGGTTGCGGCTGGTTGATTGGATCGATATACCCCTTAAGATTCCTGGGGAATCAACAATCACCCTACCAAGCCACTTCCCCATGAAACTTCGAAAGTCACTAATCAATGTCTTGAACGGTTATGCAGAAGTGTTGACCGTATATGATAATGATATCGGTTTGACTAACGTGATCGAGCATGCCATCCTCACGGGAGAACATTCGCCCATTAGCTGCGCTCCTTACCGATACTCGCCTGCTCAACGACCGGCCGCTTTTCAGCGAATTAAGGAGTTCGAAGCTAATCGATGGATCGAACCCGCTATAGGTACATGGTCTTTTCCCGTAGTGATCGTGCCTAAACAGGCCGGAGGGATTCGCATTTGCATTGATTATCGAAAATTGAGTGATATCACGATCAAGGATGTGTACCCTATGAATCCCCCTCGGCGGCGGACAGGCGCGGCCAAGTCCGCGGCCGCGGCCGAGTCCGCGACCCCGCGGACGCGCGTCTTYGCGGACGCGTGGCGGCCGCTGGGGAAGGGGGTTTGGGAAATGGGAAGCGCCAC